ATAACTCAAACAACAAGAAGCAAAACTTTTTGAAGATCTATACAACAAGTAGAAAATAGTCACAGACGCTGTCTGGTCAAAGCCAATAAAAATTCTAAGCATGTGTTTGCCATTTCTGGAAGTCGCTGCGCACATATGCCAATTCCAGCAACAGTATCAGCAGCAAATCTCCTGTCTGGATCTCTAATATAATCCTAGCAACAAAATAAAACAATAAGCAAACGATACATGCCTTTGATTTTTTAAAATATTATCACACATAAATGTTTGCAATTATCAGATAAAGTTGATGATATAGAGCTAAGTCTAAACAACATACATAAATTAAAATACACCGTTCACACTCAGGTACATATAATTATGAACAATCTAATTTCAAAAGGAAAGAAATTACCTGAAATTCTTTGAGTATAAATGAAATTGATGAATCTGTAGCAATGTAAGCCAGTATATCCAGTTTCAAAGCTTTAATTTGATATGAATCTGAAGAGCATATAAAGAAGTCTTCAAAGTACAGAGAGAAGAGTGAAGGAATTGCTTTTGCAAACACTTGAATGTTACATAAAACCTGCACTGGTCAATCAACAAAACAATCCTCACCATCTTACCGACTGTAAACTAAGTACAACAGAATACATGAAGATTGACACAAAAGAAATTTCCTACAGGACAACAGGCCAAAATAATATTTACAAAATATCAGAATATATGAATCCACGGTCACATGCATGCATCAACAAAATTTAAAAATAGTACTTTAATGCTACACAAAAACCAATTAAATTGTAAGGAAATGTTAACTACCACATATTTTGAGGCATTAGATGATCTTAGAACGAACAAGAGCGGCTTAACAATTCTTCTCAAATCCTCTATGGGTGCCATAATCCAGTGTACACCAGCAGCTGCTAGTACAACTGCACTATTATTACTCCATAACAATGGGGATGTACACTGCAGCAGGATCTTCACATCATCATTGGACTTTCCAGATGTAAAACGGGCATAATTGCATTCAGATGCATCTTTATTCATGAGACTTAATCGTGATAAATATTCAGCTGGTCCTTCAATATAACAACGGGATACAATATTTGCTAATTCAGACTGATAACGACCACTCATGTCACCGTTGTCTTCCACTAACGCAGAGTTGGTGTCTGAACAATCCTTTTCAGATTGAGAATTCTCTGTACTGTGCAAAGAAAACATAATGGATTCCTTTACAAGCCCATGCCTCGCAATTATATAGCGCAGAAGGATCCCGATTAAAATTATTTTACCCCATTCTTCTACATCAGGAAGAATCTCGCATAACCTTTTATAATTTCTTCCAATCAGAGCCAAATTATTCGGACAAACGGAAGAGAAAGCAGCGGCAGCAGCACCAACGACACAAGGGGAGTGGTCATTCAACAATATTCCGATAATCTGCATACAACAGAACATTATAGATATATTAACGACACTGGCACACTGCATATGAATGAATCAACATTGCAACAATTAGTGAATCAAACCTCTTCAATCCCCGCGGTATTTTCGTCAAGGCGCAAATCGTGCAGCTTAGGAAGAGCATTGGCCGCGCATTTTCTAACATACACAGAGGGATCTCTAGCACATTTTCCAGCGGCAACAAGAACTAAGGGTGCAATAACATGTAGACGGATCCCCGCCATAGTTCTCAGGGCCCATGCCCTCACTAACGGATTTGGATCCCCCAAATCCTTCTGGAAGTAATTAATCGATAGCAATGCTTCATTCGGACGCCTGAAACATAAATTTCACAAACACCACAAAGATGAGCTCAAAATTTAGCGATCAAGAACAAAACAAAAATTCAGATTGTGCAGCTTATCTAAGCTTACTTTTGAGCATAATGCAGCAGGTATAAGTAAACCAGCTTTTTCACTTCCAATGACTGCGATGCTACGTTCTTAACAACCTGCAATTCCAATTCAACCAAACGAAACTCGTATTAAAAACGAAGGCTCCGATGAGAGCTCTGATTCTTTTTCTTTTGTCATTTTTAATCGGAAACTCAGAGTGTCGAAATTAGAGAGGACCTGAGGGAAGAAATTGGAGACTTCGAAGCCCTGGGCGATGAGAGCGAGCAGGCGCTTGAGAGCTTCGCATTTTTCAGAGTCGAACTTGCTGTCAAGAAGAGGAGCGATACTGACGTCATCGGGATCGTCGTAGAGGTGGGCGTCTGTACCGATCCGGAACACCATTGTCGACGCCTTGCTTAGAGTATCTGCTGTTGCGCCGAATTGAGGGAACATATTTTTCCACGCTTCAGCTCCTGAAAGCTAAGCTCTCTCTCTGTGGGTCTGAAAGCGTGAGAGAAATAGAGAGGGAAGATGACTGTCTGTGAGTTGTGATCGCGGAGGGTCACCCTGACAGTACAGTAGAACCAGAGATGAGGAGCTGTTTGGACGCGCCCAACAAGTGAAAATTAGTTCGGATTGGAACTCCTACTGCTGGTTGAGGTGCGTTTGGCAACGTACGTTTAGAGCAGCCACGATTACTTATGAATAAATACCTTACTACTTAGTAATAAAAATTGTTTATGGTGTACAAGGAGCATGTAGCTTCAGTGGTTATGAATATTTCTCATGCACTTAAGGTCCTAACTTCGATTTTCTCTTCTTTCAATATTGCTTATATACAAAAATTTAAAGGGAGATCCACTATTATACCCAATATAGGGACTCAAATTATAAAAATATCCTATATAAAATGGACTTTAGAAACACACCCGAAACTCATTTATAACATAACAAATATGCTTTTAATTTTTTATAAATTACAAAACTACCATCAATTTCTTAAAACAAGCTCAACCTCAAAATCTTATAAAAATACTCAAAATACTCAATAGGGCATCAAAGTAATTTAATAATCAATATTAAATTCAATAAGGCCAATTGTCATTTTTTGGGGTTTTTTTGGGTTTGTTTATAGAGATTCAATGGTATATGGTTTATCTATAATATTACTGCTAAGAATGAGTATATCACTAAACATCTCAAATAAAATTAGGCTATAGATAATCGAATATCGATTTACGGATTTGAGATTATGTTCATTGGATTTAGTCATTTATTCTTAACATTGCATTGAATATAATCATTTAAATTTCATGATAGATGGTGTATTCTTTATGGATAAAACTTATACAAATTTATAAATAAACTCAATCCTAGACATGTATTTATAAAAAAACTCAAACACTATTTAAACATAGAAACACACCAAAAATCAACCCCAAAATCAACAATTTTATATTTTTTTGGTGTGTTTATAAATGGGTTTTGAGTGTGTGTAATGATGGGTTTTGGGTGTGTTTATAAAGTGTTTTGGGTGTTGGGTTTTTTTATAATTTCAACCTTCATTTTGGGTGTTTTAGTGAAACCCCCTAAAACTTAACTATCTTCCAATTCAGATAGTGGTTACCAAAATATATCAAACCTAATCGAATTCAAAGAAACAAGTAAGAAAACTTTACTTTATTTTTTATTTTTCTAAATATGGCTAGTTTTTCTTTCTATCCATAAAATGTCACGAATTTAATATGAGTTAGTCTAATGGTATATATGTTTTTGTTTTAACATCAAAATGTGAGATATAAAGAACTCATATATCATGAACCAATGACGTATTAGCTTTTCATCACCACTAATCACTAACTTAAAATAATTTTTTAACTTGAACTATTTTGAGTTATTTACTCTTAATCCCAACCTAATCTTGTAAACTCACTTCAAAATGGGCTTATTCGATTTCCATTTCAATTGTCAATTTTCAATTTTTAGTATTTATTTTTAAGAAATTGAAAACATAAAACTTGTTTTGTAACCAATTAGTTTTCAAAAATATTTAAAACTGAAAAATGTTTAAAAGTTGTTTGGTAACTCATTTCAGTTTTCAATTTTATGTGGAACTTAGAAATGGAATATTTAGGTTCAAAATGTGAATTTGTGATCATAGAATGAATGCATGTTGCAAAGCATTCGTAGTATTTTTCGAAGCTTGGGTTATTTTTTGGGTAAATTTTGGATATGGAGGTCTTAAAGTTTAGAATGGGTTCGCGGCTGAACGCAATAGTTGAGCAGCTAGGTCCAAGTTGGGAGGTCCTAAACACCGAATTTTGATAACTTTAGTGCATTGCATGTGTGGTGTTGTAAAATTGGCGAATGAAGGAGCACATAAAAAATGAAAATAAAAAATAAAAAAAATGAAAACACTTTCAAGTGGGGTTTTTTTTTTTTTTAAAGGGTGAATTTGAAGACTATATTTCATTTTTTTGAAAAAAGAAAACAAATTTATAACCATACATGTTTTGGCTGCAAGTTTCTAGTGTTGCCAAGATTTTGTTGATGTGCACGAGTCTTGTTTTAAGATCACACATTTGTTGTTGAGTTTTGAATAATAGTGATTGTTTCAGTACTATCTTTGTACACTCTTATATGGTGCTTATTAAAGTATCTATTCCAACAACAAAAAAAAGTAAAAAAAATGTGAAAATGAAATGGTAAAAACAATATTACCATTCAAATTTCGAGTTACAACAAATCAAATTTAACCAACTTATCAAAATTAAACATCAAATATTATCCATTTGGGCATCACACTAATCATTATGATAACTCCGGATTTGGATAGAAATAAACTTTGACTTTGAACATGCACAACGCATTCATCTCTCTACTAAATGGTGCAGGATTCCGTTTATACATCCCACATCATTCTCATTTGTTGAGTTTAGTGTATCTTTCTCAATCCCTTGTGATTAGTGTACCCATTTAAGCTATATGAATTTGGTTTAAATGACCCGTTTGGTGATGAGATAACCTAATCACCATAATCATTTCTCAAAAAACATAAAGTAAAAAAGCACCATAATAATTATTTATGAATTTTATGCATTCATCATGAAAATACAACCTAACTTCCAAGTTAAATGTCAGAAAAATTAACAGATGAAATGACATTTTTCCGATGAATTTGATCGGAATTTGCAAAAAATAACAATATTTTATGCCAATTCATCATCACTCCCAATTCGGTCAAAGAGTCGCGAGGTCTCCAATTCCCGTATTTGTCGTCTTCTCCATTTTCTCAGTGTCACGCACAGTGAATCGATTACGAAATTCGCTTTATTTATGGTGAGAAGCACTGAGAGCAGCAGCAATTAGCCCAGCCCCAATTTTCTTCGTCAAAATCCCGTCTTCCCCAGAACCCAGAGAAGAGAGCTCACACAGAGTGGTCTCTCAGTCTCATCCGTGCCCTCAGGAGCTCCAATTTTCGCAGGTCATCTCACTCTGTCTCTCTCTTCTTTCTACGTTTTAGCTGATCTTTCTCTGGTTTTGCTTGTTTCCACTACATGCATGTGCTCGTTTTGCTGATATGTATAATTTACTACATGCATTGTCAATTTTGGGCTTCTACCTTGTTTGGCTTCAAGTTTTGCAGCTTCAGCCTCCGTTCTGTTGTGTGTTTTGGCTGATCTGCTTGTTTTAGAAAAAAATTGTATGGTTGGTTTTAGGATTAACATTAGGCCACTGATTACAAACAGTTTCCTTTGATTTCTGGTGATTAAGAGTTTGGTATTTTGACGATATTTTTTTAATTTGTGTAAATTCTGTACAAGTCTACAATGTGATTTCATATGCAAGATATTATCTTATTAAGTCAAAGATATATTTGTATTTTGCAATATCTCAACTAGCTTACATGAGCAGTTACTAGGACTTTTATTTTTATTTTTTTTGGAAATTGTGTTATGATTGATTTCACAGAAAAGAGAGGAATGATATGGACTGAAACTGATTTCTATATATGGCGCTTTCACTACTGCAGAAGCCCTAGGATTGTGAAATCCAAAGCCTTGATTTGTGTGATTTCACCATATATTCTGAATGTTGCTGTAGCTTTATTTATGTAAGATACTAGTTTTTTTATTTGTGTAAACTCTGTACAACTCTACGATGTGATTTCATATGCAAGATATTCTCTGAAGGCTAAGATGGATTTTTATTTTGCAAATCTCAACTAGCTTACATGGGCAGTTACTAGTTTTTTTTTTTTTTTTTGGAAATTGAGTTATGATGGGTTTCACTGCTGCATAAGCGCTAAAATGGTGAAACCGAAAGCTTTTATTTCTGTGATTTCACTATATATGCTGAATGTTGCTGTATGTCCACTTTCTTTTTCTGTCTGATCTTTTGACTTGTAACTTGCAAGTTGCTTTTAATTTTACCTCACTTGATTCTGTCTTTCAGGAAAAAAAAAAAACCCATATGTTTTTCTTTTTCATCAACTCTTTTGGGAGATTTATTTTGTGCTTTTTTGGTGCCAATATTTTCAAATGTGAAAGAAATTAGATTAACGGTATTAAATCTGTACTAGACCCTCACTTATGTCTACCTTTTTTTTCCATAACCTGTGGTTGCACGTGTTCTACTTCCCGGATGAACTTTTCAAAATCATTGAAATAAAAAAATTTAATACGCCACTTATATTCCATAATTTCAATTTTCAGATTAGTGCTCTTTAACTAAAGTTCACAAATGGGGAGTGTGGAGGATCCTATCTTTGAAGATGATACAGATATAAGTGACACAGAAATGGATGAGGATGAAGAAGAATATTATGAAGATCTGAAGAATGGAAAACACAATGTGAGAAGCTCAGATGGGACATATATTTGCCCCTTCTGCCCAAAGAAGAGCGGCTCCAACATGCCTCTGGGGTGGAAAAGAGTAATTCAGAAAAGAGAAGCGCAGAAGAAAAGGCCAAACACTCAGCTTTAGCGAAATATTTGGAAAAAGATCTAGCAACTGAAGGTGGTCCATCTAAACCTGTGGGTGAGGAAGACCCCCCAGTTGATTGTGACCATGATGAAAAGTTAGTGTGGCCTTGGACAGGGGTAGTGGTTAATATTCCAACCAGACGGGCAGATGATGGGAGATATGTAGGAGAAAGTGGATCCAAACTGAGAGATGATTTAATAAGGAGAGGGTTCAATCCCACAAGGGTTCACCCTCTATGGAATTTTCGGGGTCACTCAGGAAGTGCCGTTGTGGAATTTAGGAAAGATTGGCCTGGCTATGTTAATGCCATGTCATTTGAGAGGGCTTATGAGGCAGATCGTCATGGGAAAAAGGACTGGGGTGCTAATGGTGACCAAAAATCTGGTCTTTATGCTTGGGTTGCTCGTGCAGAGGACTATAAAGCTACCAATATTGTTGGAGAACACCTCCGTAAGATTGGAGACCTTAAAACAATTTCTGAAATTATGGAGGAAGAAGCCAGGAAGCAGGATAAGCTTGTATTTAATCTTAACAATATCATTCAGGGCAAGAACAAAGACATGGAAGAGATGGAGCTAAAATGTAGTGAAACTACAAACTCCATTGAGAGCGTAATCACAGAGAAAGAAAAGCTCGTTCAAGGTTATAATGAAGGTATGTTTCTATAAGAAAAATGGAAGAGTGCTACTTATTGAATAAAATAAGGAAGGTATGTTATCTTTAGCTTAGTTTTCTGACTGGATTCTGACTAGTTTACGTTTGTTTGTTAATTATGTTTCTAGCTATTCCATTCTGAAGCTGTACGGTAACTGTATAGTTTGGATAAAGTGGCTTGGGTTTCACCATTTTGGGTTTATTTTATTTTGTTATATTTTTATGGTCGTATGATGCTGTAATGACATTAATTCATGCCTTTTTTCTGTGTGTCTTGATAGATATAAAAAAGATACAAATGAGTGCGCGGGATCACTTTCAGAGGATTTTTAGCGACCACGAAAAACTTAAGTTACAATTGGAAACTCAGAAGATAGGGCTAGAGACACGCATAGAAGAAATGGAGAAGCGTGCGGTGGCTAACGAAAGTGAAAGTAGGAAGCTCGCCGATGAAATTGAAAAGGTTTGCTAATTTGTGCTTCATTGTTGCACATTATCTCTTAGATTTCATGATTAATATTCCTGTGACTGTATGTGAAATTATGAATATTGAAGAGGTGAAAACTAGTTTGTTGAAAGTTACTGAAAATGAGCATGATGTTCAAGTGTCATCAAGTCATATCATGAATATTTGGGGATGAGAGTTGATGCATTTATGTTTAGTTTACATATATTGTGTGATGCTTTTGTCTGGGTTACTTTTCTATAGCAGCATTAGTTGCAATGTTTTGTTGTCATTGTTGGTGAAGGATGGTCCCGAGCACTTGATAACACTGATTTTGTTCTTGTAGAATTCGGCAAAAAATAGTTCTCTGCAATTGGCTTCTATGGAGCAACTGAAGGCTAATGAAAATTTATTGAAACTGGCTGAAGATCAGAAGGTTTGTTGGTTAATTGCTTGAAAATGATCTGAACATTATTTTATAGATTTCAGAGAAGATCTTTGATGTATGTGACTACCAATTTCATCCAGAGGCAAAAGGAGGAGCTCCACAGTAAAATAATTAAACTGGAAAAGCAACTGGATACAAAGCAAACTCTTGAATTGGAAATTGAGCAACTTAGAGGGAACTTAAATGTTGTAAGGCGCATGGGGGATGATGGGGATGTTGAAGTGCTGGAAAAGGTGGACACAATGCTCAAAGACTTGAGAGAAAAGGAAGAAACATTTGAAGACTTAGAAGCTTTAAATCAAACTCTAATTGTAAAGGAGCGTAAGAGCAATGATGAGCTGCAGGAAGCTCGTAAGGAATTGGTTAATGTAAGTTTTTCTGTTTTAATTTTTAATTTAAATGGTGCCTCAGTTACTTCCTTTTATAGTAAAGCAGACATCTGACATTCAGATGGTCTTACAAGAATTTGGAATGTAGTTTTTGAGTTTTGATTATGTAATTTGGGGCTGTGATTCTTAGATCAATGTTACAGATTTTTGTTTGTGCCGAACCTTTTCTTTAAGGATTTGAATGGAATGGTTTGCAGAAATGCACTTTTTGTGTGTGTGCATATTTAGTAGTTAGCACAACATGGTGTAGCAGACGATGGTTAACTATGATCCTTAACACTATTTATAGCAGGCGGTGCGTGTGGAGGCAGACATGCTTTTCTTTGTAGTGGGATCTTCAATTTTTGTACTGTTATATGGACTGAGAACTGTTGCCCTTTGTGTATCAGATATATTTAAAGTTCTGTTCTTAATTTCTTACACTTACAACAAGCTTCTCTATCTTGTCATAAAGTACTAACATTCTTGCTCTACAGGGCTTGAAGGAAATATCAAATCGTGCTCATATTGGTGTTAAGAGAATGGGTGAGCTTGACAGTAAACCCTTCCAAGAAGCAATGAAGAGAAAGTATAATGAGGAAGAAGCAGAAGAGAAAGCCACAGAGCTGTGCTCATTGTGGGAAGAATACCTGAAGGACCCAGACTGGCATCCTTTCAGAGTTACTACAGTCGATGGGCAACATAAGGTGTACTCTCTATTAATATCAATATCTCATTGGATTTGATTCTTTAGCTGTTTCCCTTAGCACTAGAAAATATCTGACAAAAAAGATAAATATCAAATATGCTGGCTGAAGATAATTCTTAGATTGAACTAGTTTGGCTATCCCTGTGAGTTATGTGCTGTATCATTGCTTATCTAATTAGTTGGGCCAAATTTGTAATTGTGGTGGTAAAATCCTTTCCCAGTGACATACCTGATGTTCATCATATATGACCTCCATTCACATGCTTGTTTGGTTGTGTTTTAATATAGTTTCTAGTTGGAAATGGTTGGTAATTCTGCTTTGACATCGAAGGTATCTAAAACATCAAATTACATTTTAAAAAAATGTCCACGTCATTTCCATTCATATGTTATTGTTGAAGCGTGTAATTGTTAAGCTCTAGTCATACACTAATGCCTCCCTGTGCTTTTCCTTTGAAACACTTGGCACTTGGCCTTGTCACCTTGCTTCCTTTTCAATGTTTTACGGTTCACTTGATATCAACATCACTGGTTCAGGAATTCATAAATGAACAAGATGAAAAATTGAAAGATTTGAAGAAACAACTGGGGGATGAGGTGTATAATGCTGTAACATCAGCTTTAAAGGAGATAAATGAATACAACCCTAGTGGGAGGTATATAACTTCTGAACTGTGGAACTATGCTGAGGGACGAAGGGCTTCACTGCAAGAAGGAGTTGACTTTATTCTGAAGCAATGGAAAATAAAGAAACAGCGGATGGAAGATTGAAGGTTGGTATTCAATGTTTGTCATAGATCTCTATATGGTTGGAATTTTCTTTTCTTTTTTGGGGGGTGGTATCCACCTAATTTGAGTATTTCAATTCTGTTTCTGCAGTTGTGTATGGCCAGCTTGGTGGATCTTCCCAAGTCTCAACGCAGGACGGCGGTTACTAGCCTTATTATGTCCGTTCCTGGGGTCTTGCCGAATAAGTGGTTAATCTGAAGGAGGACTCTCTACCTTTAGATGTATTCATTTGCTTTGTTCATCAACTTTGATCTTTAATAAGACACTATTTACTAGTGTAGGAGAGGTAACTTAGTCCACATGGACACTACCCAACTTCTTCTTCAAACTCTCAGAGAAGGGAAACCATTTCCAACTATCGACATTTGACTGTGCTTGTATCATTAGTATTTGACAATGTATAACAGTATTGCGAGCTTTTCAGTTCCATTTATCTATCCATTACTACTTGACTTTGCCGGACCGAGAAAAACTTGCATGTAACAAGGTGTATATGCATTGTTTTCACATCTCCTCACGTAATAGCCATGTGGCTACTTATCGTGATAGGGAGTGTATGCTCTCGTTATAGACAAGTTCATGTCTCACATTGCACCCGTGACACAGAAGTTACTGTCGTTGGTTTCAAGCTTAAAAAGAACTTATTAACGTTTGGATGAGCTGTTAAAAGAGTACACAGAATTTCAGCCAAACAAGGTAAATCACTCGGTCGACTACCGGACGACGTCGTTTCTCTTCCAGCGGAGTGTACCACAACGAACCACTTATTTATAGTACGGCGCCATATTTTTTAAACTGAAACGGCGACGTTTTATTTTCCCATCTAAAAGCATCCCCTAGTTTCTTGTAACCCTATTCCTATATATATTGGTGCTCTCTCTATACAAAATCATTAGATCTCCGTCCGCCTACACAGAGCATTCCCATGGAGACGAAGCACATCTCATCTTCTGTAAAATTAGGGCTGTGATTAGAAAGAGAGAGGCTTGAGTGGGAATGCTCCAAACACTGGAGCAAACCCAATTCGAATCTGAAAGGGGAAAGAAAACCAGAAAAGTCGCCGCCCCTTTTCATCCAAAGGCAGAGGCTTTGGCGTCTCTGGAAAAAAAATCTTTGCTTTCTTTCCTCTTTCGTTTCTAATTGGGTTTCGACCCACAATGACAGGCCATCCAATTTCTATACACTTGATATGAGCCCTCGTCTTGTTTAGATTTCGTTTGTTGATTTTTTAGGGTTTTTGTATGATTTTGGGTTTTAATGGGCAATATGGCACTTGTTGGGTTTTTTAGGAGGAAGTGATTTTTGGTTTGCTTTCTCGTAGAGACCAATAGTGCTTACAGTGAACGCCTGATTCGCACCGTTTTGGTGGGAGTTAGGCAGCGGCCAGACAACCGTAGTGATGGTATCCACAGATGGCGGGCTATATCTGTCCCGTTTTTCTACTGATTCCATCTCACATTTCTTCAATTTCAATCACTTCAAACCCTAGAAATTCTATTTATCCCTTTGCTTTTCTATTTTTATCAAGGGTTTAATTTTATGTTACATTGTTGGTAGATTTATGAGTTTTGGAATGGAACTAGGACTGCTTGAACATGATGGTTAAATCTCAAGAACAGCTACCTGTACAAGTTTAAACAAAAGCCCAAAGTGAAGGCTGGGAAAGTAAGCAAAATGGGCTGAGATCTTTACTTGGTTTTGAACTCAAACTATGAATTAATGAACTGGAATTTTGCTTGTGGATGCTTAAGGTTAGGAAAGTTTCAATTTGTCTGCAAAATGAGTCATAAAATTCAATGAGTGAGACAACATTTGAATCTGTAAATTTGTTGGACAAAATGTGCAAAAACTGAGGCTTGGGTTTCAATCTTTGACATTGGGAAGATGCACTGTGCTGAACTACAAGACTAGAGAAACTCAGGATTTGCACAATCTAAAACATACTCAATTCAGAATGAAGTTATACAACAAAAACTTGATATGAGATTTCTATCTGGGAAGAGATGTACCACAGAACCGGATGAGAAAAAAAAACAGAAATTGCTCCAATGCCTTTTTTGTGTGGGTGAAAGCCTGTGATGAGAAACATCAGTACACAACCAAATTGATAACTCTACCAGGTTATAGGACCTGATGCAGTAGAAACAACTTAAAGCTCAATTAGATTTAACACAAAGAATCCAACTACAGTGGAGCAGAGTCACAATTTTTTGGAAGAAAAAAAAAACATTGTTGCAACGTAGATAGCAAAATAGTGCTACTCCGTTTCATGGAAGTCTTTTCTCCTCATTTTGAGTTTAGTTAAACACAAATACAAAAAAAAAATTTGTTGTTGTTGTTTCTTATTGAGCTGCTAGTGGCAGACATCCCTTCAAAATCCATGATTGTAGGTAAAATTACACCCCGAGTGCGAACCATTGTCAAAAGCAAGCCCAAAAGCACTCAACATGAAACAAAATCAAAAGCAAGAAAATTGAAAAATACTTGATCATGTCTATAACTTATGGTATATATTATAACAACAACCAAAAGCTGCGGGCTACATGACCATTACAGCCACCTCAGCTGCTTACAACTTCACTTTTGCCTCCTCCTCCTTTTTCTCTCTCCTCACCCCCCACCAACAGTCAAAAAAGAGTTTTTAACCGCACAACTCTTTCTCTCTTTTCCCAAAAACAAAATTATATAATAAAGTGGGAAAATTTAATATTAGACTCTGAAATTCTTTCCAGTGAAAGTTTGGCCAAACTGCCAATTTGCAGGGACAATGTTCCAGGAAGTGGAAGTGCGTCGGTCGCTGCCTGTGACCCTGAAGGAGAGTGACTGTCCAGCCAAGACAGCATTTGACTGCCAGTTCTGACCCCAGTTGCGGCTCAAGCTCATCCATCCAGTCTTCGACCCTTTTACGCTCACCTTCACTATATCCCCTGCACCCGCGACGTTGGTGATCAAAACCAAGTTGAAGTACTTGAAGCCGTTGATCGTGAACCTGATCCCGCCTGGCTTCCGGCATGGCACCCTACACACAAAAGGGCATTTAAGTCATTTCACTACGTATAAACTATGAGTCATTTTCTTACAATTGATGGTCTAAACTTCTAATTTAATGTCGGCGGAGAGGGAGCTCACCGGCGATAAGAGACAGGGACAATGCCGGCGCGGTACTCGGCGATCTTGAGGAACATGGGCATGGCGAGATCGAAGTGGGGGCGAGGAGGATTGCACCAGCCGCCATTGTCATTGGGCAAGGCGTAATTTGGAGGGCAAAAGTTAGTGGCGGTGACAAAAATGGAGGGGCTACCAGAGTGACACCATTGAGGCTGATTTGCACACTTGATCTCGAAGCAAGCTCCACAGCTCAAACCGTTGTTAAAAAGGGCTGTGCTCAGTGCCGCTGTGTTCACACCGTAGCCTTGGCTGTACAAATTTCCGTACCCACATGCCCCTCCTGTATAGTACATTACACAAAATCAATCAAAAGGAATGAACTTTATGTTATGAACTAAAATTAAGACATGGTTTTTTCATAAATTTGGGTACATCAAGAATGTGAGAAATTTAAGGGAAAATTTTATGTGGGTTTTTGAGATTGGGAGGTCCGAATCCAAAAGGAATTAACTTTATGCTATGAAGTAAAATTGAAGTATGGTTTTTTCATAAAATTGGGTACATAACTTGAGAAGATTGTGGAAATTTGATGTCGGTTTTCGAAATACAAAAAGGTGTGAACATTATGTTATGTAATGCTTAGCAAAATGCATGAAAGGAATGAACTTTGAATCATGGTTTTCATGAAACTGATACATAGAGAATGTGAGAAAATTGTGGAAAAATTTGATGTGGGTTTTGGAAATTGGGAGTTTCAAATCCAAAAGGGATGAACTTTATGTTATGTTGTGCTTAGTAAAATACTAAAATGCAGGGGGTCTTGAAATTACCCATAGTTCCAGAGGCGTCACTGCCGCCATAGAAAGTAGCATGAGCACCCTGCCACGCCCCACCAGAGTAAACACCAGGAATTCTGGCCTCAACAATTGTACTTGCCAATGCTATGAGAGAGACAATGCAGAGAAGAGTCATGGTAGCCATTGCTTGTCAGCACTTCTCTGGAAGACAGAGAGAGAGAGAGAGAGAGAGAGAGAGAGAGAGAAATGGGTTGGGTGTGAGCAGAAGACAGAGGGGTGGAGTGCTATTTATCAAGGCCGAGAGGCAAATTAGAGAGGGAAGAAAACAAACAATTGTCAAAAAGTGACCAAAATTATCACCTTAATTAATGCGGTTTGGTCTCCCTCCCTCGAGTAGCTAAAGCTTTTGGCGGTAATTCCATTCAACTCCGTTTTAACATGAACTGACAGAAATGCCCTTTATCGTTATTTGCTTTAATGGCTTTCACACAATACGGTTTTTATGGAAAATTCAGGGTACGTGGTGGAATTGGGAAGATGATGCCAAATGTGAAAATGTAGGGTCAACAAGGTCGGTGGGGATCAAGGCTGTTGTGATCATATGGAATATGGATGGATGAAACCAGTTTGCTTCATCTGCAAGTTGTGGCATCATCTGCGGCCTCTCTCTTTGGCCAACATGGATTTTCTTTCCTTTTATTCTTTTGACTTTTTTGAGACATTGGGGACGGTGGACTGAATAGGAGGGAAGACTTGCATTGCGTACTCAATGGTACGGATACAATGCTTGTGCACTATTTTACTTCCCGGGACATCCGAGTAATGTTCTCTTGCTAAATAGTTTTTTTTATATAAATAAAAGTGATATTGAGGGGGAATTCAAACACATAATCTCGGGTACAAGTTTAACTATTATTAACCTACACACCCTTTTTAAAATAGTTAGTACAACTAATAGTTTAAATTATCAATCTGGCAACGTAACATATAAAATTGTTAGAGAAAAGAACAGAATTAGTACTACTAAAATTTTCAATTTCAGTCAATACATTTTTTCAAAATATTTTAATCTGTGGGTGGAGAAAGATCAAGCCACTAGTGGGATGGGGTTGGTTGGTATATAGCTTCTCACTTTTCGAAAAGAGGAAAATCAATTTTGACGCCGCTATAATTTATCCGCAAATTGTCCAATTTTTTCTTCTTTTTTTAAATTTTTTTTTTTTCAAAGGGTGAAGAATTGGGTTTTCCTTCGAAGGGCCCAATAATTTCCGCATTCGTCGGTCCTCGTATTGCGCCGTGCATCTGTCGTACACATCCTATCGTTTATATGTGGATACGATGGACCTACGTATTGGCCTACGTCACTCTGGCTTACCTTCTAGTTGGGTCAAATAAATATACATCTTGCACCTAACCCAGTCCGAAACCATATAGTAACCCTAATCTTATCCCCCTCAGCATCGCAACTCATCATACTAAGAACAATATGATAAAACTATTTGTATCATATATATTTAGCACATTGTAGATTGGATTGTACATATATGAGCC